ACGCCCGCCACAACTCTCCCAGCCGACCTGGCGTCATCGGGTGTAAGAGCTGGGGTCGCGTGCGCCAAAACGGTGCCGGCCGGAATGATCACCTGCGAAGGACCCGAGTTGAGAATTTGTAAAAAGGGGTCCTGGTCCTTTGACATGGCCATCAGGGCAACCACCAAACAGGGCGTTCTTGAAAAGTAGTTAGAGGGAGACAAAAGAATGTCTGTCTCTGGCGACTGCAATTCCAGGGGTTTGCGCAACCTTAGGGGCACCAACATATGTGACCCAGGTGGAATGGTCACGGGATCCCTCGACAAAGCTCGTACACTGGCGACCAGGGGGGACAAAACGGTGGGAGACGGCCAGAAGGCAGTTCCACACAACCCTGGTCGACGAGTATTCTAGTGAGCATTTTGGCCAAAAAATCCATCCCCAAAAGGCATGGCACTGCTAATGCCTTTGAGACTAAGACGGATCCTTTCAATTCGACATCGCCAATTTTAATGGAGGCAACAATGTGGCCCAAAATACCAAAACAACCACCGTTTGTGGCGACAAAAGCCCCCTGAGCCGGCCATAACAGACCAACGCTGTGTGGCAACAAGCCGAAGATGCACTCAGATATAATAGTGGCCGATGCACCTGTGTCCACCAAAACTCGCATTTCCACCTCTTGTACATAACCAGCAACCGCGGAGGAACCCGCCGCGGCCGCCACGACCCGGTGCGCGAGTGCATTCCATTGGTGGACCCGTTTAGGCCACCTGGAAAACAATGATGAGCGAACACCGATCGTTCCAGAGGGGGGCCGACGGAGCTGGGGGGGGGCGACGGAGCCGGGGGGGCCGACGGAGCTGGGGGGGGGGCGACGGAGCCAGGGGGGGCTGACGGAGCCAGGGGGGGGCCGACGTAGCTGGGGGGGGGCGACGGAGCCGGGGGGGCCGACGGAGCTGGGGGGGGGCCGACGGAGCCAGGGGGGGCCGACGGAGCCAGGGGGGGGGCCGACATAGCTGGGGGGGGGCGACAGAGCCGGGGGGGCTGACAGAGCTGGGGGGGGGGGGCGACGGAGCCAGGGGGGGCCAACGGTGCCAGGGGGGGGCCGACGTAGCTGGGGGGGGGGGCGACGGAGCCGGGGGGGCCGACGGAGCTGGGGGGGGGGGCGACAGAGCCAGGGGGGGCCGACGGAGCCAGGGGGGGGCCGACATAGCTGGGGGGGGCGACAGAGCCGGGGGGGGCCGACGGAGCTGGGGGGGGGCCGACGGAGCCAGGGGGGGGGGATGGAGCCAGGGGGGGCGACGGAGTCAGGGGGGGGCGAAGGAGCTGGGGGGGGCGGCGGAGCCAGAGGGGAGGGCCGACGGAGCCAGGGGGGGCCGACGGAGCTGGGGGGGGGGGGCGACAGAGCCGGGGGGGAGCGACGGAGGTGGAAGGGGGGGCCGACGGAGCCGGGGGCGGGCGACGGAGCAGGGAGGGGGGCCAACGGAGCCAGCGGGGGCCGATGGAGCCAGGGGGGGGGCCGACGGAGCCAGGCGGGGGGGCCGACGGAGCCGGGGAGGGGCGACGGAGCCGGGGGGGGACCGACGGAATCAGGGGGGGGCCGACGGAGCGGGGGGGGGGCGATGGAGCCATGGGGGGCCGATGGAGCCAGTGGGGGGCCGACGGAGCTGGTGGGGGGCGACGGAGCCGGGGGGGCCGATGGAGCTGGGGGGGGGCGACGGAGCCGGGGGGGGCTGACGGAGCTGGGGGGGGGCCGACGGAGCCAGGGGGGGGCTGACGGTTCCAGGGGGGGGCGACGGAGTCAGGGGGGGGCGAAGGAGCTGGGCGGGGCGACAGAGCTGGGTGGGGCCGACGGAGCTGGGGGGGGGGGGCCGACGGAGCCAGGGGGGGCCGACGGAGCCAGGGGGGGGGCGACGGAGCTGGGGGGGGCCCACGGAGCTGGAGGGGGGCCGACGGAGCTGGGGGGGGGGGCCGACAGAGCCGGGGAGGGGGTGACGGCGCTGGCAGGGGGCCAACGGAGCCAGGGGGGGCCGACGGAGCCGGGGGGGGCCAACGGAGCCAGGAGGGGGGGCCGACGGAGCCGGGGGGGGCAACGGAGCCGGGGGGGGACCCAACGGAGTCAGTGGGGGGCCGACGGAGCTGGGGGGGGACAACGGAGCCAGGGGGGGCAGACGGAGCCGGAGGGGGGCCGACGGAGCCAGGGGGGGGGCCGACGGAGCCAGGGGGGGGCCGACGGAGCCAGAGGGGGCCGACGGAGCCGGGGGGGGGGGCCGACGGAGCCAGGGAGGGCCGACGGAGCTGGGGGGGGGGGGCGATGGAGCCGGGGGGGGGCCGACGGAGCTCGGGGGGGGGCGACGGAGCTGGGAGGGGGGCGAACGGAGCCAGGGGGGGCCGACGGAGCCGGGGGGGGCCGACGGAGCCAGGGGGGGGGCGACGGAGCTGGGGGAGGGGGCTGACGACCCAAGGGGGGAGGGCCGACGGAGCCGGGGGGGGGCGACGGAGCTGGGGGGGGCGACGGAGCCAGGGAGGGCCCACGGAGCTGGGGGGGGGCCGACGAAGCCATGGGGGGCCGATGGAGCCAGTGGGGGGCCGACGAAGCTGGGGGGGGCGACGGAGACCGGGGGGGCCGACGGAGCTGGGGGGGGCGACGGAGCCGGGGTGGGCTGACGGAGCTGGGGGGGGGCCGACGGAGCCAGGGGGGGGCTGACGGTGCCGGGGGGGGCCGACGGAGTCAGGGGGGGGCGAAGGAGCTGGGCGGGGCGACGTAGCTGGGGGGGGGCGACGGAGCCGGGGGGGGCCAACGGAGCCAGGGGGGGGGGGCCGACGGAGCCGGGGGGGGGCAACGGAGCCGGGGGGGGACCCAACGGAGTCAGTGGGGGGCCGACGGAGCTGGGGGGGGACAACGGAGCCAGGGGGGGGCAGACGGAGCCGGAGGGGGGCCGACGGAGCCAGGGGGGGGCCGACGGAGCCAGGGGGGGGCCGACGGAGCCAGGGGGGGCCGACGGAGCCGGGGGGGGCCGACGGAGCCAGGGAGGGCCGACGGAGCTGGGGGGGGGGGCGATGGAGCCGGGGGGGGGCCGACGGAGTCAGGGGGGGGGCGAAGGAGCTGGGCGGGGCGACGTAGCTGGGGGGGGGGCGACGGAGCCGGGGGGACCGACGGAGCGGGGGGGGGCCAACGGAGTCACGGGGGGGCGACGGAGCCGGAGGGGGGCCGACGGAGCCAGGGGGGGGCCGACGGAGCCAGGGGGGGGCCGACGGAGCCAGGGGGGGCCGACGGAGCCGGGGGGGCCGACGGAGCAAGGGGGGGCCGACGGAGCTGGGGGGGGGGCCGACGGAGCTGGGGGGGGCGACGGAGACCGGGGGGGCCGACGGAGCTGGGGGGGGCGACGGAGCCGGGGTGGGCTGACGGAGCTGGGGGGGGGGCCGACGTTGCCAGGGGGGGGCTGACGGTGCCGGGGGGGGCCGACGGAGTCAGGGGGGGGCGAAGGAGCTGGGCGGGGCGATGTAGCTGGGGGGGGGCGACGGAGCCGGGGGGACCGACGGAGCTGGGGGGGGCCAACGGAGTCACGGGGGGGCGACGGAGCCGGAGGGGGGCCGACGGAGCCAGGGGGGGGCCGACGGAGCCAGGGGGGGGCCGACGGAGCCAGGGGGGGCCGACGGAGCCGGGGGGGCCGACGGAGCCAGGGGGGGCCGACGGAGCTGGGGGGGGGCCGACGGAGCCAGGGAGGGCCGACGGAGCTGGGGGGGGGGGGCGATGGAGCCGGGGGGGCCGACGGAGCGCGGGGGGGGGCGACGGAGCTGGGAGGGGGGCCAACGGAGCCAGGGAGGGCCGACGGAGCCGGGGGGGGCCGACGGAGCCAGGGGGGGGGGCGACGGAGCTGGGGGAGGGGGGCCGACGACCCAGGGGGGGGGGGGCCGACGGAGCCGGGGGGGGGGCAACGGAGCCGGGGGGGGGGGACCGACGGAGTCAGGGGGGGGCGACGGAGCTGGGGGGGGGCGACGGAGCCAGGGAGGGCCCACGGAGCAGGGGGGGGGGCCGACGGAGCCATGGGGGGCCGATGGAGATCTTTTTGTGATCCCCGCAATGTAGGAGCCTTTCAAAACCATCACTTTACCCTACATTGCGGGGATCACAAAAAATATCTCCAAAATCTTGAATAAACACAAGATCCAGGTCCGTTTCAACACACTACGTAAAATCCGTGATCTGGTTCCATCTGTAAAAGATGTGATTCCGGACATACAGTACCCTGGTGTCTACAAACTAAGTTGCCTCTGTGGTAGTAGTTACATTGGAGAAACCAAACGCCATGTCTCGGACCGTATTCGTGAACACAAAGCAGACCTTAAACACGGTAGGACCAACACCTCGGCCGTGGCAGATCATTGTTATAATTCAGTAGGCTCACATGACATTGACTTTTCCAAGACAGAGGTTCTTTGTAAGCCAGATGGCTACCATGAGAGATTCGTTCATGAGGCTATCCACATATACAAGCACAGAGACAATTTCAACCGAGAAGATGGATTATGGCTTAGCAATCATTGGAAAGATTTGATTAACCATTTCAGGTCTTAATTGATTGTTCACGCTTACAGTGGCTTTCAGACAGCATACATTAATTTTTCGTCTCCACCCTCCTCTTTTCAGAACATAGATGGACTCGTCCTTCTAAATAAACTGCCAAATCACTGCGCGTGGTGCTAACGTTTTTTTTAAATAAATAAATACACCGTTTAAAAATAAATAAATGCAAACCGACACACCTGATGATGACCGTTTGTGTTATGGTCGAAACGTCGTGAGAATTTTTATTATTTTATATATTTTATTATTTCCCTTCAACGTGACTTTACCGAAAGAGCTAAGAATGTCTAATGGTTGTTGTTGGCTTACACCACATTGATTTTTGCAGACAGCGTTTTAATGATTTTTGTGGAATATTTGCTGGTTTATTCCAGGGTGTTTCTGTCACGCGTTGTCGCTTTAAGATGTTCTGTGTTCAAATTTTGTTTGTTGCGGTTGCACCCGACTTAAGAGCCGCATGGCTCACAGGGCTATACAGTACCTAATAAATGAAACTTGAAACTATCCACTGTTGGTGGGCCTCGCCTATCCGGTCTACCAAATTTGAACCCTCCCTCAGCGCCGATAACCACTACCATTTCCACGAACGTCACTCCGAACCACAACTGTGTTAATCCACGTTTCCACGTCTTGATCGCAGGGACAGAGAGAGACGCCGGCGCCCATTAATCGGCCGATAAGCAAACTCGCGGTTTCATTTCAGTGCGATTCGCGGCGGTAATTTAGGGGTGGCGAAAAAGTGTTGGAAAGAGAGGGACGCGTCACGAGTCGACCGATTTTCCTAAGGAGTCTTGCAGGAAGCCTGCGCTAGGCCTTCCCGGCGGCAAGTGGACAATGGCAGCGGGGTCGCTACCCAGGGTCGTGTTCGTGTTAGGGCCGCCTGGGAGCGGCAAAGGAACGATTTGCGCTTTGGTGAGCAAGGTGAGAGCGATGGGAGCGGTGATTGCGGGTGAGGTTTATGTTGCTTCGGCTGATGTTTTTAATGTTGCTCATGCTGATTTTCTTGCTGATGATACTCGTGTTGCTGTTGTTTTGCTGCTGAAGATGATGCTAATGATGTTGGCTGATGCTGCCCAGGTGTTTCCCTATGCTCACCTCTCGGCTGGGTCTCTGCTGAGGGCCTCCAGGTGCGAGGCCGTGCAGAGAAGGTTGAGGAACGGGGACATTGTCAGTTCACACATCACCATCGACATCCTCACAGAGGTGATGGCAGCACCATCACACTATCAACATAATCGGTATCACTAACATCACTAATATCGTCAATACATTCACGAACATTACAAATATCAGCATCAACAGCAACATGATGATCATCAATATAAACATTATTGTCAATGTTATGCCAGAAGATGCCTATCATCTCGGGGTGAAGGGAGGACAATGGAGTCACATGTAGCGTAGGGGGGGGGGGCACGAAGGTTCCAGTCGGTTCCAGAAGCTTCTTCAAGAGAGAAGAGTCCGATTGGGACAGCTCCGTGGGGGGTGGGGTAACTGGGCGGAGAGGGAGTGTGTGAGTGAGATAGCACTTGGCCCAACTGGCTTTTACGTCTCTATGGGGGATATTTGCCTTCTGAGTGGAGATCGGTGGCACATTTGTTAGTACACTGTGCTACGAACCCAGCAGAAGCCTGAGTTCAATTCCCGCTGACAGCCAATAATAGTGGCGAATATGTCAACCAGTCATGGGCCCCCTAGGCCGATTCAGTCTAAAATTAATACCTGGTGCGGTGTGTAGTATACATCAGCACAGGAGAGACAAAGACGGCTGAGCGTGGTGCTCGACACCGAGCTCCTCATGTGTGTCGTGCTGGCTTTAGGTACTCCTCTCTAACGACACTTTCCCCAAGAGCCTATTAGGGATAATCAGGGGACCTTTTGTCCGATGGATGGAGACCATGAGTGCTTTACAGATTGTTTTGTCATAAGGGATTCATAGAGACTTGTACGTTCATATAACAAAGTAATAATGTAGTAATATTACAACACTAATAATCACTTTTATATCTAGGGACGCCATGCATTAAGTCCCAAGACTATTTTCATAAGGTTCCTGCCAAGTTTGTAGCAGTAGGGGGGTAGGGGGAGCAATGTTGCTCCTGTGTGATTCCAATTGAGTTATTAGCTGGGGATTTCTCAGCATTTGGGATGTGGTTTTGGCAAATACCAAGTACATTGTGTTTGAGTTTAGCTATGGGAGGTGTAAACTGGAGAATGTAGAGAAAATCCATGCACAACAGGGGGAGAACATACAAACTCCACATATTCACTTGCACACACACTATTATGTCTTAGAGGCCAGCTGGCCAGGATTGGGGAAAACTTAGCACAATTTTGACTGCAAAACAGGGGGAGAACATACTCCACTCAATCCAGTCATACAGACATATCCTCCTCATACCATTTAACAGACCGTTAGGGCAAGTACTGTTAGCGAGTATCTATTAAGGCCTGCACAGTACACGAAGCGGTGGGTGGCCAGCACCACACTTGGCCACCTTTATTTAATCCTTGGCGTTTTTATGCATTGCACCAGATATGCATTTAATGCTGAGTCGACTTAAGGGAGGCCCACAACCGGCTCAGATAATCATCACCGGTGTTGGCCGTGAGCGAGAATCGGATTCGGATTTCTCATGGATTTGTAGAATAACGCGCTGACTACTAGACTACTGCGCCACCGCTATCCACAACAACAATAACCGCCTTTTGGCACTAAGTCGTGGTGATGTCACCTCAGCCCTTTGTGCCAGGTTAAGTACACTTTGAGGCTATGTGAAGTGTTGAAGGCTCACTGTTAGGAGGTCATGGGACAGACCCAGGTGCCATGGGTTGATTGAGATAATTGGTAGATACAAAGATGAAGATCTCCGTATAGTCTTTAACAGACTTTTGGGGTTCTTTGGTTCTTTCGGTAAAGTCACGTAGATAGAAAAATAATTTTTAAAAATTGAATAAAAGTAATAAAATAAAAATTATGATAAAAACTGCTAATGTAGACTGTAGCCTGGTTATTAAGTTTGGTGAGTGTACTGGCAGTCTGTAATGTATACTGTAGCAATGGTTATTAAGCTGTGTGAGTGTACTGGCAGTCTATAATGTAGACTGTAACCTGGTTCTTAACCTCGGTGAGTGTATTGGCAGTCTGTTATATTGACTGTAGCCTGGTTCTTAATCTCGGTGAGTGTATTGTAGTCTATAATGTAGACTGTAACCTGGTTTTTAATCTTGGTGAGCGTATTGGCAGTCTATAATGTAGACTGTAGCAATGGTTATTAAACTGAGTGAGCGTACTGGCAGTCTGTAATGTCAGTCTGCATTCGATTGATGCGTTACCATATCCACAACACCGTCGTTAACGCCGTTCACCAAATGCTGGTGACATCACCACAGGACTTGTGCAAGGCTACTTACAGGAGGAGGTCACGGGACAGACTCAGATGCTCTGGGTTGGCTAAGATGACTGACCAGCACTCCCCACTGTTGTGAGCATGGCTGCTATCAAGCATCATCAAGACTAATGTCAACAGAAACATCAACATTAAAAGCACCATCATCATCAGCATTATCACTAACATCATCTCCCTCCTCTCCGTGTCTCCCTCCCTCCTATATCCCCACCCCAAATGTCTCCTTCCTCCCTCGTCCCTCATCCTCCTCCCCATGCCTCACTCCTTGTCTCCGTGTTTGTAGGAGATGAGGTCCCTTGGTGCATGGGGTGGGTCCCCACATCCCCGTGTCTCTGTGTCCCCGTGTCTCCGGGGGTTTCTGCTGGACGGATTTCCACGGAACCCGGAGAATGCGTGGAGCTGGGAGCTGGACGCGGGGAGACGCACAGAGACACAATTCGTGCTTAGCCTGGAGTGCAGCGCCAAGGTGCAGACACTCAGAGACAAAGACAGCAGCCAATGCTGTTGATAATGCTGCTGATGATGATGTTGCTGATGTTGATGCTGCTGGTGCTGATGTTGCTGCTGGTACTGATGATGCTACTGGTACTGATGATGCTGCTGTTAATGATTATGATGATGGTGTCGCAGGAGAGCCTCAGTCGATGTTTGAGTCGATCTCTGGGCTCCTCTGCTCGCTCAGACGATGAAATCGACATCATCACGAAGAGGTATCAGCAGCAGTAACATTACCATCATCACCATCAGCAACATCATAACCAGTATCATCAACATCGGCATCATTACCATCATCAGCAACATTATCATGAGTATCATCAGGAACACTATCATCGCTCACTCACCCACCCACTCATTCACCCAACTTATCTGGAATGTCCACTGATTGATGCATATGGCATGGAGTTGTAGTATTTTCAATTTCTAATACTACCCATGCTGCGGTGGTAACTGGCGCAGCCTGCCGGATTTGAACTGCGAATCCTCCACAATGAGCAGCGAACACCGCTACTACTGGGGCATTACCACTGGGTCACAACACCACCCCCATTGTGCATGTGTAAGGTACCTCTCAGCCTTTCTAGACCACCAACGGACTACCACTGGGCCACGTGATCACCACTAATCAGGTGCGAGGAGAATAATAGCTGAGCTCTGACATTGTATTAATGAGAAAGTGAATTAGTGTGTTGTAAATGGGACCTTGCCTCCTAGGTTGGCTCTATTTGAAAGGGAGACACGGCCCGTGCTGGACATGTTCCATGAGAGGGGGTTGTTGAAGAGGGTCGACTCGTCCCGGCCCACTGTTGAGGTGAGGCTTTGCTCCCTTTCCCCAAAACCTCTCCCACCTTCCTGCCTCTCGTGTCGGTGATTTTCACATTACACGCCATTGGCTGAAATACAGAAAACCATTTTGGACACCCACCTCTGCTCCAACAGCCCAAAAGATCGACATCGGCCCTCACTGGGAAGGGATCGTGGGCAACTATGGACATGGCAATAAACAAACACCTCATTGAGGACCCTACTGTTGAAACACTGGGCTCCTCTTTCCCACGACCACTACAGACCTCGTTAAACCTCGCTCGAACACAACATGGCAGGTGCGCGTTCACCTTCCCCAAATGGACGAAGATCAGACAATTGCCGAACGAGTTTGGTGAAGTCCAAACCATTAAATGCATCACCATGAACACTCCATCCATGCAACATTCTGACTGTTGCTGCGATCCTCGCAGCACCTACTGCTGCCTCCTTGGATTGGTTTAAAAAACTTAGCATTCAACTATACAGGCAGACATTGCTTAGTGCGACCACATAAAATGCTGATTCATTATAATGCAGCAGCGCTGGCCAAGGAAACATCCGCCCATTGAGTGACTTATGCTTTGAGCTGACGAGACCCCACCCCCCATGATTCGAGTATCACGGTTTATAGTCATTACATTTTAATAAATAGATTTGTTTCGCCAGGTGATAACACACGAGGCAAGGATAGAGTCTCAGGCTTTACGTAAAATAAACCTCACCACAAAATTTTTGACTCACATCACTAAGATCACAGACGTCCTGGAGCTCTGTGAGAATGACCTGGATTTCAAGTTTTCAAGTTTCATTTATTAGGTATAGCCCTGTGAGCCATGCGGCTCTTGAGTCGGGTGCAACCACAACAAACAAAATATGAACAGAGAACATCTTAAAGCGACAACGCGCAACAGAAACATCCTGGATAAACCATGAAATCTTCCAGAAAAAAAACCCACCGTATTACAACGCTGTGTGCAAAAATCCCAGTGTGATGCAAGTCAAACATCAACCATAAGACAATTTAGATTAAAGTTATCAGGCCAACTCCGCACTTCCGCAAGAAACATGGCTTAACCATATGTTTTCGAAATCACCAAAATAAAGCTATAAAAACAATGTAACAACAGTAATCATAGGAACTGTGATTCAAATTTAACAATACACGATATACATAACATGTACGACCAAACTTGCAGCCATAGCTGGCAGCATGACACTCCCAGTGTATGATGTGTGAGTGAGTCAGTGGTAGTGTGAGTGAGTGTATGATGTGTGAGTCAGCGTATGATGAGTGAGTCAGTGTATGATGTGTGAGTGAGTCTGTATGATGTGTGAGTGAGTCAGTGTAAGATGAGTGAGTGTATCACGACATCCTCCCCGCCATCACAGCCTCCCCACCATCGCGGCCTCAACGCCATCGCGGCCTCCACGCCATCGCGGCCTCCACGCCATCGCGGCCTCCACGCCATCGCGGCCTCCACGCCATCGCGGCCTCCTCCATGCTATCGCGGCCTCCTCCCCGATTTGGAGTGCAGCAGCTCCCCCACTGCAGCCTTGCAGGAGTACAGTAGAATGCGCTCGTTAGTACTGTACATAATACAGTGAAACCTTGGATTGCGAGCATAATTCATTCCGGAAACGTGCTCGTAATCCACAGCACTCGTATATCAAAGCGAATAAATAAACTCAGATGATTCGTTCCACAAAAATATATAAAAATTGATTAATACAAAATACTGTACCTTTGAATATTTTTATTTCAATTTAATATAAAGTAATCAAATGTATTAATTAAATTTAATCGTAGCTGGTGTGAGGGAGACGAGAGAGGAGACGAGGAGGAGGGTTATTGTGTAGGACGACTTTCACTGTCACGGAATCACTGTCATCTGTTGGCTCACTGGAATATTTTTCTTTTTGTGCGACTTTAACAAGGAACCTATCCAATGACACTTACTTTTGCCTCTTTCTTACAACCTTCCTTTTCAACCTTTTTCTTCATGGGGGCCATTGTTGCAGTACAGTTACTAAAGAACAGTCACTACACTTGGACACATTAAAAAAATGCTTTACGCACACACATGTGGTCACAACACTATACAGTACTGTAGTAAACAGTATACGCTCGCACGGATGTTGACTATATGAGTGAGGCACGCCGACTGAGACCGAGCATGGGAGATGATTACCCACAATCCCTTAGCGAGAGAGAGAAGAACCATTGGCTCAGTTGTGATCATGTGACGCTCGGCAGACAAGGCGCATACTGTACGTACTGCTCGTATTGCAAGACATCGCTCGTTTATCAAATTATTTATTTAAAAAAATTGCTCGTCTTGCAAAACACTCGCAGACCAAGTTACTCGCAATCCAAGGTGCACTGTACTTACAGATGTTATAATTATTTATTTATACTCATGACAATGTTGACTCTTATTATTAACACTATTACCTATACCCCAATGAAGCCCTCATATATTGCTAATATGTGAGAAATAATGCTTTCGGGAATGCATCCTTATATTTAAAATGGCATTCACTTTTCCAGGAATGTATCTTGAGCGCTATGCGAGGTTTGCCTGTAATAACTCGTTTCAATACTAGCTTTTCCCTTCTGCCGTACGAAAGAGAGAGACGGGGCTCGTAATTGGTTTCCTTTTGGAGGGGCCAGATCCTCGTTCGCTTGGTATGTCATTTACAGCTGAGAACCCTCCACCACCCTACTGATGATGTGGCTAGACAAATAACACCTGTCGCGCCGTGGGCGAATGTAGTAAGGCCTGATGATTATGCTGCGTGTAATCTCCAGCGCAATGTCGCTCATATGGCATTGTCCAAAAAATGTTTTGCTTACTCTTCATTGCAACCAGGCTTCGTCAATAAACCAAATAAGTTGGGGTACATTTCCCCACGACGTGACAGCTTAATTTATTTGGCTGTGTCGTTGGGTGGTGAAGGGTGCACAGCTGTTAGCTGTTGATTGAAGGTAACAAAAGCACGAGATCAAATACGTGCAGTGGGCAATAGCAGTAGCCTCGCTCAAGTTCCATAGATGCAGCCACAGGTCGACTGAGTTTCATTGAAATGGATCGATGGAAAACTAGATGTGGAGTTGCAGCTTACGTTTTGAACGATCTCACCTCCCATTTAGTCTATGTCCATTCTTAAATGCATCGAGTTGTTGGAATCGAGTATCAACTCACCTGGTAAATCAGGACACAGACCACCAAACAGAATGAGTGCTGAAACCCGGGTGCTGTAAGGTTGTATTTTCATATTACACGTTTGGGTTACCCAGAACACTCTGCCCCCATTGGATAGGGGAGGCGTAGAATGTAGTGAAAGAGAACATGTTTCCCGTTGACCCAGAGAGAAGGTTCTTCTGCCTAAGAAGTTAGAGATACCGCTGCTGCCCGATGTTCATATCCATTAAGGATACAGGTATCCACTTCTGTCTGTTCTGCAGTTGCCGGACTTGTGCCAGATCCCTGTCAGCTAGGTATTATCAGGGTTCCTAATAGGCCTTACTTTACCCTGTTAGGCTGACTCCTACACGGATACCCATTTCCCTGGTTCCACGACGTGTACGAGGTGATGGACTTTTGGAACCCAATTGTCATGATACCCGTGTGTAATTGTTTGTTATTCTATGCTCTTCAGTTGCTGGAGTGAAAGGTGGGGGTTGTTATGGCCTTGCCTAATCCTGGCCCAGCCTGGCTATGGGCAATGTTAGTCTATGGACAATGTTAGTCTATGGACAATATTAGTCTGTGGGCAATGTTAGTCTATGGGCAGTGTTAATCTATGGGCAATTTATGTCTGGGGGCAATGTACATATATGGGCAATATAAGTCTCTGGGCAATGTAAGCCGATTAGCAATGTTATTCTATGGGAAATGCTATTTTGTGGGACAATGACAGTCTGTGGCAGGGGTCGGCAAACTTCGTCTTCGGAGCCACATGCGGCTCTTCATGGACTCCGTGACATTATTTAAGGGCCACTGTCTCGTATTCAGATGAAATGTTTTTTGTTACCGAATTCGAACAATGTTGCTTGTTATTTTGATTGCTGACCTCTGGTATGTGGTACAATGTTAGTCTATGGGCAATGTTAGTGTATGGCTGAAAAGTGGTGGAGCTGTGTCCTCTCCCAATCGTGGGCCAGCATGGCTTGAAAAGTTAATACAAAAACACTATCTGGTCCAAAAGAAACCAATCATGGATCTTAATGTTGCTCGTAAAAGCCTAGCATGGTTAAGCAAAGGGTGTTTTCTCTCCGTGTGATCAGGTCTTTGCAGATGTCACGCGGATCTTTGAAGAGGAGGGATAACGTCATAGCAAGCCTCGTTTGCGAGCCCCTATTGAGAAGCCTCTCACCTCGGCTCTGGGTTCTGCTGCCTGCGATTAAACTGGATTCTCAAGTCGAGTGAGTTGGTGGTCTCTGTCTGGCCACCAGTGATTCACGTAGAGACCCATAGACTCACACAGAGACCCACAGACTTGCACACTCTGACAGAGACACACAGACTCAGACAGAGTTGATGGTCTCAGCTGAGTTACCAATGACTGCACAAAAAATCCTGATCACATTAAGTCTTTTACGTAACTTAGCTAAATTACAATTGTGAGAATTAAAATATTGGTTTGACTGTCACATGGTGAGCATTACTGTCATATGTCAGAGTGAGTGGGAAAGTGGTGCCCTCCACTATGGACCAGAATGTCGCTTGAAGAAGAAGTAGGATCTCAGAGGTAGCTCGTTGATATCCTATTCCTTGGGTTCCGTTCTTTGCTGCATTGCAGGGAACGGCTGCACTGCTTCGTGAGATTTACGAATGGATTATTTGCCTCGTCTCGTGACGTCGAGAGATTGATCGGGGTCAAATTGGGAGAGTTTATTTTTTACAAGGGGCTGGAATGTGGGAAAGCTTCAGATCATGTTGGCAATCTAAATTTCCAGGGATAGCCACATATACCTCGATATACCCAAATGCTTATGAGACACGCAAGAGACCAAGACTGTGATGTGGCCCAGCGTTCGCCACTTGTTGCAGAGGTTCACAGTTCGAATCCAGCAGGCCACCCTGGTTAATACTGTGCATGTGCATATTAACCGCGAAATACTAATACTCTGAACCATCTTCTTCACTCACAATGGACGTTAAAGACTCCGTGACGTCAGTCGCAAGAACAGTTTGCCATTTTGTGCTGGTGCCACAGTCCAAATTTTTGTACAAATTAGAAAAATGCCACTGCAAATTACTCAATTCGGATCATATACAGTATAGAGTAGCAACGATCACCCCCGACGGGACATCATAGTAATGCACAGGGACAGCTGCCACTGAGGGTACCCCTCAGCGAGACCACAACAGCAATCATCTCCGCCTACGGGCATAGTTATGCCTGTTTGCAGGTCTGTTGCGGAGTCACCTTGTGCCTCACAGGGACAGCTGGCACTTACTTGGTCACCCCTTCCAAATGTGTTGAGATAATGAGATGCGAGATATACGCTGCTTGTTGCGTGTGAAGCTTCTCTGAAGCAACCGAGTTTAAAGGAAGGTGGTTCTTCTCAAACAATCATTAAACATCAGTAGATGTGGTGGGGTGGTTAGGGTTGAATTACACTGGTTCATCAGTTATTCCCCTCCCCCACCACCGCCAGGTTCCCCTTCCCCCCTCCCCTTGGAAAATATAAATGAAAATCTATTGATTAGTTTTATTTATTTGTGTTTTCTTCGTGCATGCAAATTGCATCCCTCACAATCGTTGCTGAAGAACTGCAGGCCAAGCTGGAAGGCTTGGTTCCCTGTATATTAAGATGTGTTCAGGCAATTTGTGATGAGTGTTCATTTTACATGTAGGAGGAAACTGGAGTGAGTGGAGAAACCCCACGCCTGCGAGCGGGTGACAACATTCTATCCCATACAGAAGGGACAGATATCAGTTCATACTTTGCACCTCGATGCCCACGGGAAGGGCATTTTCCAACATGTGTGTGATCCACCAACCCTCTCCTCCACACTGCTGGATTACAGGCGTGTGCCACCTTCAGCAACGTTTTGTCATTTGTGTGCAGTGATCCACCAACCCTCGCTGCTGCCTGCACGGTACTGCGTTACAGGCCATGTTCAGCAGAGCTACCACCGAAATGTAATGCCCCCAAGCACCCCCCCCTCGCAGAATATCGACTTGGAACTCGGTGACGTTTTCATTGTGCATTTATTTTTTTGTAATTTCCGGCATTATAAAATGAAGTTTGCAAAAGGAATAGCATTGGAAATTAACATCGGTCACACTCCTCAACTCTCACCCGTTACATAGAAGTTCTTAGCCTTGTGCTTATGCACGTGAAACCACTAGTTGAGAAGAACTGCCAGGTGGTCATATTGTCTTGGCCCACCATCGATAAAGTGAGTATGTGGACGGCCGAACTGGTGGTTTTCGCTTGACTTGCATGGTTGAGGGCTTCGGTACATACGATGTCATCTCTGCCAGTCATCTCTGTTAACCCATGGCACCTGTCTGTCCTATCAATGCCAGCAGCAGAAAACATTCGACACTTCACGTGGCCTCAAAGTGCACATAGCCTGTATGTATGTTGATCTTTCGCACCGTACCAACTGTGCTAATCATCGATGTGGGGAAGGACAACAAACTAAACACAAAGCAGTTCTCAAATTAGTTTTTAATCTAGATTTGAAAGTGCATAGCTCCAATGGCTTCCAAATATCGGAAGGAAGATCATTCCGGTACGATGGCTAGCCAAAAACCACTTAGAGAATGACCGGAGATAATTTTGGCACCGTGGTAACGTCACCGTCACTTAGTGGCAAATGGCGGCTATGTATGTGTTGGAGACTCCGCGGCACCTGGCCAGTTCATTATATCCTGGGGCAGCGATTACTTAGGGAACTCGGAGATGCTTGTTCACCAAGTCATCTTCTGGGAAAAAAGCCTTGGACAATGAGTGGCAAGGAATGTGGACCAGGGGATAAAAAAGAGCAGAGCAAAAGAAGTTCTAAGTGGGGGACATCTGTGGGTCATCTAATAAAGAGACCTCTGTTGAACACGGTATGAGACTAATCCTTTCATATGTATGCCGAAAATATTTTTTTTCCGCCCGCACTAAGTTGTCTGTTGAAATCAGGTTTTTGAGCCACATACAGATTTAAATCTCTAACCCTCATTATACTTTACATCACAAACTCACTCGCTCTTGGGTTGCTATATTAACCTATAGATAATAAACACTGCACGGTGTAAAAGGTAATACAAGATCATTAAACAATGCAGTACAACGTTCAATTCAGCTACGATAATCTAAGTTGCAATGAACAATATCTGTATTCATCTAGGTGCATCTCGGTCTCCTTTATACACTATCTCATTTCAGTCAATTTATATTTATTAGGAATTTGGCAAGATAGCGACAAGTGATCACCCTCACCTGAGTCCCAACCTCCTTGAGTCTCAAGACCTCGAGATCCAGTTTCTTTGAGTCTCAAGACCTTGAGACGTGGTCTTCCCAAATCACAAGACCCTGAGATCCGGTCTTCCCGAGTCTCAAGACCCTGAAATCCGGTCTCGAGTCTCAAGGCCCTGAGATCCGGTCTCCCCGAGTCTCAAGACCCCGAGACCCCATTTCCCTGAGTCTCAAGACCCTGACCGTGTCTCCCTGAGACTCATTACCCCAAAACCCGGTCTCCCTAAATCTCAAGACCCCCACCCCCTACCGTCTACATATCGAGGTCGTAGAACCTGCTCGTCCCTGCCAGGCCCAGCTCGTGTGGCGTGGGCAAAATATTCTGGTTGAGGGACACGAGGAGACACAGCCTCCCCACACAGTCCAGCCACAAAGCCCTGCTTAATCTCAGCGGGAGCTTCTTCCTTCTGTTGTCTCCATCGTTGATCCTAGACCACCCCAGCAGACGCGACGCCACCTCGAGCGCAGCCAACGCCAGCGTGGAAGCTGGAAATGAGTTGAAGGCGTAGTCTGCAAAACTCAGCTCCAGGATCTGCTCTGAAAGGCAGCTGAGTGCCGAGAAGGAATAAACGGGGGAGAGAGAGGACTTCTCTGTGGTAGTGGAGGTGGTTGTGGAGTTGTGGTTAGTGGGCGTTGTGTGATTGGGATATGGGTAGCGATTAGGGTTGCTGTCGTGGTTGTATGCAAGACAGCGTACAACTGATCCCTTCGTTGTTGCTGCCGATGGATGTGATGGGAGTGGTGGCGGTTGTGATATTGGCGCAGATAGTGTGCATCTTTCTGCTAATGGTGTTTGTGGTGATGGTGGTGGAGATAGTGTTGTTGGTGCTGCTGTTGATGGTGGAAGTTTTGATATTAAAGATGCCACTGATGACGATGCTAGTAGAACCGGTGATGGTGGTGGGGATAATGATGCTTCCATTTCTGCTTCCCCCAGCGCCCTTCCTCGTGCCGCTTCCCCGCGCTCCCTGCTCAAGTAGAAGGAAAGGAAGTCGGCAGCCGTGGGAGCCAGGAGCCGGAATTTGAGACGGAGGAGAACGAGACGCTCCAGGTTTTTGAGCTGCTGGGTGGTGAAAGCTCTGCCGCACAGATCCAGAAGCTGAGAGGCGCGGGGGGCCGTCACCTCCACCTGTGAAATAGTGGAGTTTTGTGTGAAAAATATCCATTCAAGGAGTCTAACATTCTCACAGTTTAGGGTAACAGTTGGCTTAATGCTAAAGTGCAATGTATGTATGTGAACATCCATTCAGGGGGTCTAAGTCTGACGGTCGGCTGAATGCTAAAGTGCGATGTATGTATGTGAAAATTAATTCAGGGGATCTAACGGTTGAATTGAATGGGGCAGATCAATGTTGCTAAGCCTGGTGACGATGAGGAATGATGGGGAACATCGATGACATTGGGACGTACCTGCTTGGCGGCAATGTGCAGGCACGCAACGCCCAGCAGCTGGAGGCAGTCGGAGGCGAGCGGTACGCGAGCCAGGAAGCGGTCGAGCAGGGAGAGCGCGAGCGACAGAGAGTGCAGCGACAGGGACAGGTGGCGCCGCACGGGGATCAGCCACGACACGAGCACGCAGCGAGACGAAGGAAGAACCTAAATGGGGTGAAGGGGGGAGGGGTGAGTCACGAGATGGCAGCATCTAGATGGGGCGGGGGGGGGCATGTTGCTTGAGCATTAACCAACTTGGGGAAAAATAAAACGCATCCACGTCCCGACTGGCAGACTAATTCCCACTTGCAGGCCGGTGCTGCATACACCACGTAGGGTCGGCTGCCACTGGCTGTCCCCTATGTTAGACTGCAGCATGGAAAAAATGGTTGAGATGAAATATGTTAAATGCTTTGAGATGTTGAAGCATTTTAATGAGCGCGCTGTACATACAAATCCTTGAGTCATCCGTCCAAATTATTTTGTATTGAATTATGTGCTATGAAGAAGGGTTGTTGCCAGATATATAGCCTATTGCATATATAATGATTAATTATAAAGATTAGAGGCAAAATTATGCCCCAGTAGGTGTAACAATTAGTGCGGTCCCAGTTTTTAAAGATGGGACCTCACTAGGGCATCATCCTAATCCTGGGGAATCTGTGCTGTGGTCCAGGCAGTTGTAATGATGTCGCATAGTTACATAATCTCTGACCGGCGCTTCACCTGGTCTCAAGACTCTGGATTGCTCTTCGCACTGCTTTAGCAGATGACACATCAGACACAGGGAGTGCCTACTTCCTCCGACATTTGAGATTGTACAGCCCTCACAGGGTTAGCCCCACATTGCCCAATGTTGGTATCTGGGCTATCTCACTGATATCAATTCTATCACCACGACCAATACCATCATCACCATTACCTACACGACCAACATTACTATCAAATCCTTACCTGTATTTGCCTCTCCAGACATCTCGTGGGGTGGAATTCTCGCTCCACTTCACGCTGGCTCTCAAACCACTCTATAGCATACTCATCATCATCGACATCATCATCTACAGCAGCAGCATCATCAGTAGCAGTAGTGGAGTCTCTGCTCTTTATCTCTGTGTCTTCATTGCTCCGCACCCCTGTGTCTCTTGTCCAAGTCTCCACATATGTTCTGTGTGTCTCTGTATATCTGTGCTTCTCTGTCACTGTGTTCCTGTGTCTCCGTGCCCCGGTGTCTTCGTGTCTCTGTGTTTCCACATCATCTTGTGTCCGCACTCGTTTGGCTTGAGGACCCAAATCTTCACGTGGACAATGGATTAACATGGCCACTATGAAGACAGAGAGACAGTTTGTGACGGACCGACATGGAGACAGTGAGAGAGATACAGTAGATCGATTATCCCAGCGCGTGATTATCTAGCTTCCAACATCTGGCGGTCCCGGGCCAGTCCGGCAAAACCGGCAATGTAATCCGGCGATCACCGGAAACCACTCCAAATGAGGATGTACCATTCCGGTGATCGGCACCATGTGTGTGACAAAAAAGAACAGCTATGTTTGATTTTAGTGTCAAACATATACAGTCCATACACTACATACAACTTAAACAATGAACATAATGCAAATACTGTATATACATGTTTCATGACTAATAACTTCTAAAAACAATATGCAGTACAATTCGAAGAAGAAAACTGTGGAATACGGCGTTCACCGGAGCACCGGTTTAAAGGCTGCATCAATCCGGCGATCAAACACAGGGTCATTGAAACAAGAGTGTAGTACTACGTACATCACCACATGCAGAATCTTAGAGATTGGAGTGGTAAGTATGGTAAAGCAAAGACAGACCTTTTACAGTATTTGTCTATTTTTATCAAGACCGTAGCCATGAAGTCAACATTGGGGAGGAACAAATTCTCCAGGGGGTCTGGGGGTCCCCCCCCCCCAGAAAAAAATCTAAATTTGAAAACGAATTTCCTGCCTAAAATCTAAAAAAATTCACTAACAAATAGGATGCACTTTCTATTAATGTTTTACAATAATGTCTAATAGTGTATTGTATTACATTGCTCTGTTTTTTTATTTTTTACCTTTTCTTGTTTCATTGTAATGGCAGAGATTACGGATTTATAAAGTACAACCATAACCACAATCATAAACAGAAATCTATTTTATAGCAATATATTGGGGGGGACATTTTGAGCATATAATTACGGCCTTGATTTGTGTGTTTTTTTGCCAATTTTATACAGTAAACAAATTGAAAACACAAAAACACAACACCAAAAAACATGTTATATAAAAATGTGCAAAAATAAGCTTTTAAATAATGTGATTATCTGGAATAAAAAACGGCGCCCCTATCCCGCCTAAGCCACTGGATATAATCAACAATATATTGTGTAGGGATGCAGAGGCTAATAGACATAGAACCACAGTGATAGAATTATCAGGTAGAAATGTTATGGTGATTATGTTGATGATTTAATAATGGGCATATAGACATGAGGAAAGATGACACTGTTCAACGGGTTGATGTCCAGTGTGTTCAACTATAATTTTGTATTTACAAAGTAAAGCCCTCTAAGCTACTGGCCCTTTTTCACAGGCTCCCTGGCCACACAACAGTTAATCGCAGTTTATATCATATGTGGGAATTTATAGGAGCAGCCAAATAATCTAAACACATGTTGATTCTAAATGTGGCGGGCAAAACTGGAGGACCTGGATAAAAGATCCACGCGACCATCATGGGGAGATATCATGCGACCTCAAAGTATACAGGCGTCAGGGTCGGTATGCATGGCCCACGAGTGACCAGTTTTGGTAACCACCTAGGAACCTAAATGACATCAAATGGGCAGAGAGTGGGATCCGAGGGAACCAATGGTTAGAGAGCGAATAGCGGGACTTGGAAAGCGTCACACCTTGCAAATGCTAATTATACTATGGAACACGATTTTTGTTCCTGGGTAGTATTATTTTCTAATTGGTTATGCCTCAAAAGTATAGAAAAATGGCTATTCTCCACAAACTTTGCTTTTGTGACCAGGACTTTATGTGAAAGAATGACACATGCACACGTTTTCTCATTGAAAATAGGTAAATGTAAAAATATCACTGTCCTGGTCACAAAAGCAAAGTTTGTGGGGAATAATAGCCATTTTCTGTACTTTTGAGGCATAAGCAATTTCAAAATAACACTACCCAGGAACAAAAAAATAAGTTTTTATTACAGTGAATTATCATACGTTGTGATTTTTTGGCGATCGATGTATAATGTGTTAACGCAGCTCGGGAGTGCGTACACTATTCGACTGAAGATTGTAGCAAATCTGGGAGCGAACACGATCTAGCAGACACAGGAAGCATGCAAGCTTGTGCAGAAAGAGAGAGCAGAAAAAGTTGAGAGTAAGTGAGCACAGGAACGGGAATTCCTTAGCTAGGGCCAGTAAGGGAGATAGTGGACGCCAGCGGTAACCATAAGCATACAGAGTGCGAGCTAGGTAGATACTGCAGTATTTTAGGGTTATTTTCGTTTTTATTATTGGCACAGGTCAAATCCATTGGGCAATGAATGCTCATTTTCGATGGGGACCTGGTTACACCATATAAACCTGGTTACTATAGCAAAAAAACGTGAAAATATTCCAAAAACTTTTTACACAAGGTCAGAATGGCAAGGGCATGGATCAACATGATACAACCAGCACAAACAATACAAGAGAACGCATCGCATACAAAAACATTACTTAAAGCCTACAAAGTAGAGCGATAAGTAGGAGTCAGTCAATATCGGTATTTGCGATAACACGAAATCGACACGTAATGTTACACAGACGATACATTGTTGATATCGTCAAGGAGCATAAACCATCACGCGAACTCCGATAATTGCAGCGGCTTTTGAATCGCCATCGAACAGAGACGGCTATCGCACCGCGGCCATCTGCACGCGCTCCCTTCTGATATGAGGAAGCCACTGGAGCTATGCACTCTATACTCTTTGGTTCTTTCGGTAAAGTCACGGAGGTAGAAAACAATAAGAATTAGTTTCCAATCTAGAGTGCATAGAATCTTGATTTGAAGGTTTCGTGACTGCAGGAATCCATACTCTTTGGAAACTAATTTCTTTAAAACTGCTTTTTGTGTTTAGTTTGTTGTCATTCCCTGCAACTCCAATTAGCACGGTTGGCTACATACATTGCGACATAAGTTCAACATAAATTAGAGATTATTATTACACAACATTGATACACCAGTTGGTTGGTACAACATTGACACGCGTTGTTTCAGCCACTGTTTACATTTAAGTCACTATACATTTAAGTGTATAAGATTAATTGTTGCAAGTTGAGCTGGATTCTGGACTTTCTGGATTACAATCACCAGGGGACAGAGAGACACATATACAGACCAAGGGACAGAAACACGAGTCATACGTTAACACACGCTTTTCTAGAACCTTAAATCTCACAGAAAGCCAAAGCAGCTGGAGGCAGTCGTAACTTCCACGGAATATTGGGGCAAGTGCTATTTGCAAGCACCTATGAAGGCCAGCACTGTGCACTTATGAAGATGTGGTGTGGCCAGAAGAACCATGCCCGGCCGCCTTTTTCTCCCCCAATGGTTATGTTTACACACCACATCAGTTCCTAATATATGAGACCGGTTCCGATATCAATAAACACTGGTGGTGGTTCATAGCGCAGTGCGCTTAACGGCTGCTGTTAGCGAGCACCTATGAAGGCCGAGACGAGGAGGTGGGTGGCCAGCACCAGGTACTCGTCTGAGGCTGAGTAGTCCCAGGACCGGTTCATATCGTCATTGGTATTGGCTGTGAGCGGGAATCGAACTCGGGTAACCGGGTTCATAGCGCAGCCCGCTAACCGCTACACTACCGCCCCCCCCCATAAACAAACACAAAGGTCGCCCGTATAGTTTTCACAGACCGACGCTTGGGTTGCGCCCGAAACGTGATTTATTGTATACCTACGTGACTTTACCGAAAGAACCAAAGAGTATAGGAGAAAGTGCTTTGAGCGAGCACCTATGAAGGCCTGAACGGCACACGAGGGGGTGGGTGGGTGGCCAGCACCATGCTCATGTACATAGATACACTATACTGTCTATATACACGTACGCTGTGAGTTCCACTTTCCCATGTACACTATACATACGCACACTGTGAGCTCCACTCTTCCATGTACACACACACTATACATACGTACACTGTGAGCTTCACTCTTCCACGTACCCGCACACCACACACTCCACACTTCACTTTATACTCGTACGGGGAGGGCTCAGTCGGGCAGGTGACGTAACAGCGGTCTTGCGCGCGGCTTCCCGCGCCCGGCGCGCGCGGCGTGTTTTAGTTTCCATAGAGACGGGGCACGTGTTGGGTGTGTGTGTATATGTCAATGTGTGTGTATGTCAATGTAATTCTAGATTTGAAGTTTTCGTGACTGCAATGATTCATACTCTTTGGTTCTTTCGGTAAAGTCACGTAGGTAAAAAAATGAAAACTAAATTAAATCACGACGTTTCGGAGGCAACACAAGCTTCCTTCATCAGATGTAGAAAACAGCAAAATTACTGTAAAGAGCTATTTGTGATGAGAGATTAATTATATAGGGTAAGAGGAGGGGGGAGGAGCCAGAGAGGGCGGACGCAGAGGGGGGTGGTGGGAGCCAGGATGGTAAAGCTGCTCCTGCTATTGCTTTTGTACCACGGATGGGGGGGGGGGACGCGGAGAGGGGGAGAGTGGCGGCTAAAGTTTAACATGGTTAATAACATCTTTCCAATGATTGCTCAATTTGAATCCATCTTCTCGATTGATATCTGTGTTATGGTGTAAATGACGACACGGAGGGCAGACGTCGGGGCTGACGCCAACAGTTTATTAAGGGCTGTCGCCTAGCTTTTGGGGAAGGGCTAACACAGGACTTGGTGGTTAAGCTAAATCTCCCCAGGGGAAAGGTACTGGGAACCCCTATGCCCCCCCAGGCTAATGGGCTCTCCCCACAGCGCTGACCAACTCGGCCAGCCGGGTCAAGTAGCCCCCCTACCCTCGGTCCCCACTTCATAGTTTCATAATTTATTTATTTGGTATAGCCCTGTGAGCCATTCGGCTGTTGAATCGGGTGCAACCTCAACAAACAAAAAACATGAACAAGAAAACATCTTAAGGTGATTATGTGACTGTGCAAACAGAAAATCCAGAAAAAAAAACAAAATATTCCTGAAATAGCACCATACACCAACGCTGTGTGCAAAAATCCCAGTGGGATGCAAGTCAAATAACAACAAAAACCACAAGATAACTAAGATTAAGGCCATCAGTCTAACTCCGTACTACAATAAACAAAAACATGGCCAAAAACAAAAAAAACGTTTCGAAATCACCAAAATAAAAGCCATAAATGCAATGTAACAGTGATCATAGGGACTGCGACCGAATTTTTAACAATAAACTACTTAAATAAATGATAACACCAAAATCTAGAGCCATATTTTAGGCCACTGAATAGCAGTGGCAGCTAGGGATGTACAACTCCTCTAGAACAGTTTTGAGTGAAGATCTCATAGGTAGTGATTCAAGTTGCAGTTTATTGGCAATAGCATTCTAGACCCTGGGGGCATCAATAGTAAAGGCCCTTCCCTCCGGTTTTTGTACGGCAATAGGGAATGTGAAGCTGGTAGATGAGCGAAGACCTGAGGTCAAATTTGTTCTTTGAAACAGAGGAGATCCAGTAGGTAGTCTGCGGATTTTTTTGTAAGTACATCGTGAATAAATAAGATCTGGTGCACAAGCCGTCGAACATTAAGAGATGTTAAGTTTGACCCAATGTAGAGATCACAGTGGTGAGTCCTATATGGGCAGTTCAATGCAAATCTTAAGGCCGAGTGATAGATGGAATCAAGCTTCTTCAGTACAGTACTTGGGGCTGATTTATACACGATGTCACAGTAGTCAAGTAGAGGCAGTATGGTAGCTTTTATCAATTCCAAACGGAACATTGGGGGGAAGCAGTGCTTGTGTCGATACAGAAAACCAATTTTTATTTTTGTCTTTTTACCAATATAATCAATGTGATCTTCAAAATAAAGTTTTGAATCCAGGATGACCCCAAGATACTTATAGATTTTGACTTGCTCTATTTGACAATTATTCAAGGAATGTAATTGTGGAAAAATAACTTCCTGCTTTAGTCCCGGTGAGAAGCATAGCACCTTGGTTTTGGAGGTATTCAGGACTAGTTTAAGATAAACTAGCTGATGTTGTAGTTTGTTGAAATCACCCTGGAGCTTAGCAATCACGTCATCCGGAGAGCGGCCAGCAGTAATCAGTATCGTGTCATCTGCAAAAAGATTTACCCTGGAATGATCCAGGTCAGTGCCCAAGTCATTGACATAAAGAGAGAACAAGAGGGGGCCGAGGATGGAACCCTGTGGAACCCCTTTTGTTATCTTAACACTGTTTGACCTCCAACCATCTGTGAATACAGTTTGGGTGCGAGAAAAGAGGTAATTTTTTAACCATTGTACTGTGTTCTCGGAAAAACCGAGGCAACTTAGTTTACTAAGCAGGGTGTTGTGGTCTACTGTATCAAAAGCTTTGGACAGGTGAAGGAAAAGACAGGCACAGTACTGCTTATTATCAAGGCTATTGTAAATTTGATTCAAAGAGTATAATGCAGCAGATGTGGTGCTGGATTTTTTTCGGAACGCAGATTGTTTTAAATGTAGTAGATTGTTGGTGGACAGGAAACTGCTAATTTGGTAGTTCAATAATTAAAAAAAAATTTCATCAATGGGGACAAAATTGAGATAGGTTTGGTAGTTATTGGGATCATCTTTAGGGCTCCCTTTGTGAAGTGGACGGACATAGGAATGTTTCCATTCTAGAGGAACCGATGCTTCTTTGATGGACAGGTTGAAAATATGGGCTATAGGTTTGTATATTAGGTGACCAACAGTAGAGCAAAGACGGGAAAACTATCTGCTCCGGTAGAGGAGGACCCTTTGAGGTAGGACAGTTGTTTCAGAACATTACTTTCGTGGATTGGTTGGAAACTAAATTCGATTAATGTTTGGACAGGGGTGTAGGAATTTGCAGGAGCAGGGGTGACTCCCAATACATTATCAAAAAGATTACCAGCTTCAGAAAAATGAAGGTTAAAATTGTCAACTATTCTTTTGGGATCTGAAAAATATTCCCCGTTTCGGTTAAGCTCAACGGGCAGATGTTCTGTTTTGGATGCCTTTTCGATAGATTTGATTGTTTTCCAAAAAATCCTGGCTTTTCCATGTGATTCCAGGAGAGTGGAGGAAAAGTAGGCATTTTTTGCATGCCATATTTTTTTTACGCATCTATTCCTTAAAATCCTGTATTCTAGTCAGTCATTTACCAAATTACTTTTTTGAGCACATGCCAAAGCCTTGTCCCTAGTTTTCATGAGCTTTGTAATCAAAGGATCATACCATGGTGGGCGGTTGCCTTTAGTTTTAAATCTAACCAACGGAGCATGTTTGTTAAGAATTTGGAGAAACGTGTACCTGAAAGTGTCCCAAGCCGTAGTCAGGTTGGGGATATCACAGACCTTATCAATATCCGAGTGAAGCACATCATTTGTAAATGCCTGAGAGCTGAAGTGCCTCATAGAGTGCTTCTCAACAATTTTAGGGGGGGCTTTGGGTCTGGCTGATGATCTCACCCCAAAAATGAAGGAGTGATCACTAAGGTTATTACCCAGAACACCAGTCAGTGCGAAATTGTGAGGAGCATTTGTCAATAGGATGTCAAGCAGAGTTGACTGTCCCGGATTTTTTAGGTTGGGTCTTGTGGGGACATTTATTAATTGAAACAGGTTAAATTCATCTGTAAATTTTGTGGCCACGGCCGGCGGGTTTAGCCAATTCCAATTTAGATCACCCACTAAAACTATTTCACCTTTAGGGGGGCCCCAAAAAAGCTCTCTCAGTGCCGATGCAGCTTCAACAACCTTCCCACAGGCGGTCTATAGCAGCACACTACCAATATCTGTTGATTATTTGGGAGAGTTATTCTGAGAGCCAAACCTTCAAAGCAACATTTTTTAAACAACGAGTGAGCTGGTGAACATGCAATAGTATTACGAACATAGATGGCAATTCCACCTCCTTTAGATCCTCGGTCAAGCCGAAAAAGGTTGTAGTTGTCAATCGTAATCTGCAAGTCATTGACGGCAGGAGTGAGAAATGTTTCTGTTAGGCAAAAAATGTCCGGGTCAAGATTTGCCACTTCTAGTTTTAGTTGACTTAATTTAGTCACAAGCCCTCTGATGTTGACATGTAGAACACCAACACCTTTTCTGCCAGAAAAATCTGCAGAATTATACGAGTTCTTTACATTCGGGCCAGGATGAAGCTCAATAGCACCCAGAAATAAGAAAAGTAGAATTAATAGTTTGCACAAGTATTTTCTGTGAAAGGATGAAGATCGGCGAACCTTGGACGAATAGCAGCAGCTCGCAGATGGTATTATTTTTAAGAGCAGAATGAAGTTTGGAAGGAGTGCTGGTGAATAATGGGACAAAGATAGGGTTTAAAAGGATACAAAGATGGAGTGTAGAAGTGTCTATGAGCAGTTTCATTTGCAGGTGTAGTGGCAAATCGAGCAACAAGTATGAACACAAAGTAATGAGGGTAGCTGTTTGTAGAGTTGAGTGTGGCACTAGATATGGCCGGGAGGGACAGCAGTGGAATACACAGCAAGATAATTGCCATCTTTAAAATATCCGGGGTAAACAGATTAACACACAAGTGGAAAAGAAAAAATATCTATACTTGTAGCTGCTGCTGTAGACGTTGCTGTAGCTGGATCCGTTGATGCGACTGTAACTTTCTGCTGCTGTAGCAGCTGCTGTTGTAGCAGCTGCTGTAGTTGCTGCTGGAGTAGTTGCAGCTGCTGTTGTAGCAGCTGCTGCTGTAGCTGCATCCGTTGTTGCTGTAGCTGCTGTAGCTGCTGCTGTAGTAGTCGCAGCAGCTTCTGCAGCCGCTGTAGCTGCTGCTGTAATAGTCGCAGCAGCCGCTGGAGCTGCTGCAAGTCGCAGCAGCCGCTGCAGCTGCACCCGTTGTTACTGTAGCTGCTGTAGTTGCTGCTGTAGTAGTTGCAGCAGCCGCTGCAGCCGCCGCAACAGTCGCAGCAGCCACTGCAGCTGCACCCGTTGCTGTAGCTGCTGTAGTTGCTGCTGTAGCTGCAGCAGCTGCTGCATCCGCTGTAGTAGTCACAGCAGCTTCTGCAGCTGCACCCGTTGTTGCTGTAGCTGCTGTAGTTGCTGCTGTAGTAGTTGCAGCACCTGCTGTAGCTGTATCCGTTGTTGCTGTAGCTGCTGTAGCTGCTGCTGCAGCAGCCGTAGCAGCCGCTGCAGCTGCTGTAGTAGCTGCAGCAGCTGCTGTAGTTGCTGCTGTAGCTGCTGCCGCGGTCACAGTAGTCGTTGCAGCAGGAGCTGTAGCTGTAGTAGTTGCAGCAGGAGCTGTAACTGCTGTAGTAGCTGCAGCAGGAGTCGTAGTAGCTGCAGCAGGAGCCGTAGTAGCTGCAGCAGGAGCTCGGGCCTCTAGTAGACCACACGTTCGATTCTCCAGTACACCACACGCTCGATTTTCCAGTACACCACACGCTCGAATCTACAGTAGACCACACACTCGATTTTCCAGTAGGCCACACGCTCGGGCCTCCAGTAGACCACACGCTCGAGCCTCCAGTAGACCACACGCTCGATTTTCCAGTAGGCCACACGCTCGAGCCTCCAGTAGACCACACGCTCGAGCCTCCAGTAGACCACACGCTCGATTCTCCAGTAGACCACATGCTCGGGCCTCCAATAGGCCACACGCTCGGGCCTCCAGTAGACCACACGCTCGATTCTCCAGTAGGCCACACGCTCGAGCCTCCAGTAGACCACACGCTCGATTCTCCACTAGGCCACACGCTCGGGCCTCCAGTAGGCCACACGCTCGGGCCTCCAGTAGACCACACGCTCGATTCTCCACTAGGCAACACGCTTGGGCCTCCAGTAGGCCACACGCTCGGGCCTCCAGTAGGCCACACGCTCGGGCCTCCAGTAGACCACACGCTTGAGCCTCCAGTAGACCACACGCTCGGGCCCCCAGTAGGCCACACGCTCGAGCCTCCAGTAGGCCACACGCTCGAGCCTCCATTAGACCACACGCTCGGGCCTCCAGTAGGCCACACGCTCGGGCCTCCACTTGCCTTGTATATAGGAGTTCGTGGGTTCTATCCCGACCCCGACGCATGCTGTAGATGTGGAGTTTGCATGCCTCTCTCTCATTCCCTACCGCTCACGACCTCGGCTCCTCGCGAAGACCCCGAACACGTCACGGGTCCTCCCCAAAAACCCCGAGGGGACATGACGTCACTCCTCCCGAGGCGAGTGTGACATTTCGTCACCCCTCTACTCCTCAACATCACCCCCCCCTGTAAAAAAAAATTCAGCCGACCCGGCTGCAACTACTCCGTGAGCGGTGCCCCCCCCCCCCCCCCTTTTCGGGAACCGACGATACACAACGAATGTAACACAACGAATGCAACCCCCCGAACGTAGAAGCTTGACCGGCTGCTAGAAACAGAACAGGGCACGCCGGTACAAGCCAAAGTCCGGGCATAGACGCCACCCGGAACGGCAAGTGGCGATAAGGGCGGGATGGAAGAGGACGGCATTGCCGTCCTTCAGCGTATGCGCCTGCCCCGCGAGCGCGTGCCCACCGCCGGTCCATTCCCTCGCGCGGCGTGAGCCGCCGGAGTCGGCCTGGACCCTGGCCAGGACAAGGCGCCGTAGGTGACACAGCCAGTGACAGTGCAGCCGGCGCCTCCACCGTTGGGCCACTGCCTCCCGCGGCGACCGTTTCTGCAACCGGTGGGATCAACGGCGGTAGCTCTGGAGACAGTAACATCCCCCCCGCCCCCAGGACCCGGCCCGTCGGACGCCATCCCGGAATTGGGGATGAATCAGGGAAGGCGGGCGGCACCACCCGCTTGAGCCGCGATGGGTGCACGGTCCAGTGATTCCGGCCCAACCGGATGCGGACACACTGAGGCCATCGGACCCCCACTACCTCAACAGGGCCCTGCCATGGTCGATGTAGTTTAAGGGACGTGCCTACCAGCACCTGAGGGCAGTGCAGCCACGCCAACTGGCCCTTTTTCCACGGCAGCCCAAAGGCCTGATGTTTAGGCAAGTGCTCCGTGGCCGTCTGCCGACTGGCCGAATTATCTAAAGCTGCCTGCCGCGCTTCGCACAGCCGATCCAGCGCGATTTTCATCGGAAGGGGAATGGATGACCCCTTCTTGACTGTGCCAAGGTCCAATTGAACGAGCACCGGGGGCTCGGGCTCCCGTACATAAGGAAAAAGGGGGAGAACCCCGTCGAGGCATGAGGAGCCAGTCTGTACGCGGCCAACACCCCCGGGATGAACAGGTCCCAGTCCGATTGGGACGAGCTCACGTGATGACACGACATGGACGTGAGAGTGCGGTTCAATCGTTGTACCATCCCGTCGGACTGGGGATGGTAGGGCGAGGTGCGGACTTTCTTCGTCCCAAGGAGGTCACAGACCTCCTTGAGTAAACGGGAAGAAAAATTCCGCCCCTGATCAGTTAAGAGCTGTTCTGGTGTCCCCTTATCGAGAACATACCCCTGAACAAATGCCTCCGTGATGGACGAGGCCGTCCCCGTTGCGATGTGGGGAATGGTCCCAAAATATCAAGTGCCACGAGCTCATTTACATGAGAAACCCGGATGTACTGCAGCGGGGCCCGCTCCTGACCCACTGGGCCTTCCTCCGCGCACAGTCATGGCAACCCTTCAAAATCAGCGCCACATCATCCTCCACGCCCGGCAAATAGTAGTCCCGTTTAAGGGTCAAGAGGGTCTTGTGGTAGCCAAGGTGCATAAGCTTCTCGTGAATGGCTCGGGTCAATTTACCTCGTAAGTCAATGGGCACCACCACACAATATCGTTCCAATTGAGCAACCCAACGCACGAGGAGTCCGTCATGCATGGCGACCACCGTGCCAGCCGACAGAGCCGAGCTCCAGGCCTTAGACCCAATCCGGCATCGCAGCCGTAGCAGAGAGGAATCCTCCATCTGCATCTGGGACCATACCTCCCGGGGGAGTCCCAGACCAAAATCCAGGCAAGGCCCCACCCCTGAGAGGGCGCCGCGTCGGCCGATGCAACCAACTGGGCCGCGGTATCCACTGGGACCTTACAGCGGTTGGAACCCAGGGCGCAGGCGCACTCGCCCACCAGGGGCCGCCTGGAAAGGCCGTCTGCATTCCCATGCAGAGTTCCCTTCCTGTGGATGACATCGAAGGGGTACTCCTGGAGAACCTCGAGCCAGCGTGATAGCTGACCCGAGGGCTGGTCAATTCGGAGAGAATATTGCAGGGCTGCATGGTCGGTCCAGACGGTAAACCGGCGACCATACAGATATGGCCTGTACAATTGGACGAAGAAAACAATGGCCAGCAGCTCCCTCCTGGTCACACAGTACCGCTGCTCAGTGGGGGACAAAACGCGGCTACCATAGGCCACCACCCGCTCTACCCCATTGACAACCTGAGCCAGGACGGCCCCAATGCCCGTGTCACCGGCGTCGGTGTCGAGGACGAACGGCCGGGAGAAATCCGGGTACCCCAAGGGCGGCGCATCTGCTAAGGCCGTGCGAAGCGCCGCAAAATTGGCCTCCTCCTCCTTCCCCCAGCGAAATGTTTGTCCATTGGCAGAGAGTGCATGTAGTGGCTTCGCAATAGTCGCAAAATCGCGGACGAACCGGCGATAGTACAATGCGAAGCCCACAAAGCTACGCACCTCAGCGACAGATGTAGGAGTCGGCCACGTCCGGACACAAGCAGTCTTTTCCGGATCCATGACCACACCTGACGCGTTAACAATGTGGCCCAAATACTTCACGGATGGTTGCAGAAGGTGGCACTTCTGAGGTTTGAATTTTAAGCCAGCAGTGCACACTTTGGCAAAGACCGCCTCCAACCACTGCAAGTGTTCGTCAAACGTACGTCCAAAAACGATAACGTCGTCCAAGTAACTCAAACAAGACTCCCACTGCAACCCCCCCAAGACCAATTTCATGAGGGGCTGAAAGGTGGCCGGGGCCGAATGAAGACCCATAGGGAGCCGATTGAATTGGAACGCGGTCTTTGGCCTGGAGGCCTCATCCAATGGTAACTGCCAAAAGCCCGAAAGCAAATCGAGGGTCGAAAAGAACCTCGCACCCAAGAGGGTGTCGAGGGAATCGTCCATGCGAGGCAAGGGATATGCATCGGCCACTGAAATCTTGTTTAATTTACGGAAGTCGACGCAGAAGCGGAGACTCCCGTCCCGTTTCTTGACTAGCACGATGGGGGCTCCCCAAGGGCTAGTGGAAGGAGACATAATGTCTGCCGCCAACATGTTATTAACTGCGGAGTGGACATTATCCTTTTCTGCTGGGCTAAAACGGTGTGAATGCAGTCGAATAGGGGCCGAGTTGCCCGTGTCGATATGATGTTCCAGGAGAGTGGTACGGCCCAAATCGAATTTGCTCTGGCTGAACACATCGGCGAATCTGACGATGAGATTGCGGAGCCGCTGGCACTCCTGGGAGGACCACGAGGCGTTCTCAATGCACAACGCATCAATCCATGATGCGTCGGCCCCCCCCCCCCCATGGGCAGTACTCCTGCCACCACCCCTCCTGGCGGCTCAAGGATGCCGGGAGGAGGGCCTGGGGTGGCATGCGCCAACACAGCACCAACAGGGACGGCGATCGGCGCGGGCCCCGAATTTAGGACCTGCAAAAAAAGTTCCTGGCCTGCAGCCACGGCTGTAAAAGTGCCCACCAGCCCGTCGAATCTCGCAAAATAATTGGAAGGAGACAGGAGGATGCCTGCCTCCGGGGACTGCAACGTCAACGGCCTGCGCAGCCTGAGGGGAAGCAGGATCTGCGACCCGGGTGGAACTGTCACGGATTTTGTGGTCATAGCCCGTACACTGGCGGCCAGGGGAGCTACGACAGAGGGGGACTGCAGGAAATGTAGCCGGTCTCCCGACGGCATCTCCACACACCCCTGGTCGACCAGGATCCGAACGGGCATTCTGGCCAAAAAATCGGTGCCTAATAGGCACGGAACGGCCAGAGTCCTAGAGACCAACACAGGTCCCCGCAACACGATCTCCCCAATCGCCACAGACGCGAAGACATGACCCAAAATACCGAGGCTACTCCCGTTGGCAGCCATGCACGCCCCGCGAACCGACCGCAACGGCCCCACACTGTGCGGCAGCGACCGGAAAACGGCCTCGGACACAATGGTGGCGGACGCCCCCGTATCCACCAGGATCCTCAGGTCGACCCCCTGCACGCGCCCCACCACGGCCGAGGATCCGACAGCAGCGGCCATCACGCGGTGCGCGAGGGCCCGCCACTGGCGAGTCCCTCTGGGCCACCCAATCGTCGAGCGCATCTCCGTGTGCCCCGAACCGGACCCCCCAGAGATGGGCCCATGAAGATGGACCCTAACCCTACGAGATTCCTGAGGTGGAGAGAGCAGCCGTGCGATGAATGTGTCGCGACTTGCCTATTGCCCGGGAGGCTCCGCTGCTGGAGGGACGCCCGCAGGAGGAGAGGCCTTGGAAAAGGCCCCGGGCTCGTTGTTGCACCCCCTCTCAAAGTGGCCCACCTGGCCACAACGAAGGCAGGTGGCCCGCCCCTGGGCCTGCAAACGGTGAGGTCCTGCCCGCCCCGGCCCCTCTGGCCGGCGAGCATACCTACCATCCCCACGGCGGTTATAGGCCGCCGCGGCCACGAGGGCGTCCTCCCCGCTGGGCGGCGCCACCGCTGGCGGCGCTGGGGTATCCACGCAGAACACCATCGCTGGAGGCCGACGCAGCGCAAGATGGGCTTGAATATTTTGCGCGACGGTCAGCAAAGTGGCCTTGGCCCCTGCCCCGATGGACATCACAATCCCCAGCTCCCCTGCGAGGACCAGCAGCCTCTCCAGGACTAGGGAGTCCAGCGCAGTCCCTTCCACGTCGGGATATGCAGCCAGAGCCAAAGCAAGGAGGGAGCAGCGGAACGCAAGAGGCGATTCCCCATCCTCCCTGCGGCTCGCGGTGAACTTGAGGCGCGCTTCGTTTGGTGGCTCGAACACCTCGGCCATTCGCTGGTATGCCGACTGTAGCGTCGCCTTCGCCGCCGGTGGGATGTTCAAAAAGGTGTGCAGTGCCCTAGCGTCCAAGCATGTGGGCAGTGCGAGCAGCACCTCCTCTTCCGGCCAGCGCATGGACCGACAGGCCGCATCAAACTTGGCCTGGAATCCAGCCAGTCCCCCTTCGTGGACACGAACGGCGCCACAGGGGGCAGCTGTCTCAGCC